TGCTTTGTCCCACGCGGCAGACACGCGAAAAGGCGCCTTATCGCCAATGTGTTAATATGTTCAGAGAGGGCGGATATGACCAAATCCATACTAGGTCGAGTACGTCATGTACTTGATCTACTTGCAATGCTGGGCCGTAAATTCGGAAGAATCGAAAATCAGAGTTGAAGCTCTTATAGAGAGCGAAGCAAAAATTTTTGCTCCAACCGGATGCAAACCCGCATGCGTTTGACTTGAAAGCGAGACCAACCACGAGGCCACGGTGGCACTGCCGAGGCATCGATCAGCAGCGCTTACGAGCCAGAACTCAAACTTTGACCACCCAGATCTCGTCTGGGAGGTCCCCGTAGCACTTTTAATCTGCATATTCGTAATCAGCATTCGAGGCTCTATCGATGTACCTAGGTCTCCATTCAAAGTTCAAACCATTCCCCTTGTTAGTAGTAATCTGTAGTATACAGATTATTCTCTGAGGCTGCGTGTACTTTGCGGCAGCGTCCACCAGCGTCCATCAGCGACCATCAGCGTTTCGAGCGTCCGTCAGCGTCAGTGACTAGGAAAGTATAGATATCGATCTAGCGAACGGCAGCGTCTACCAGCGTCTATCAGCGATCAGGAGTAGAGAGTATGGGGAAGCAAGAGAGCAGCAGATTGCTGGTAGAGTATGGGGAAGTAGGAGGGATAGGAGGGAGGAGACAGATGGATCAGGCAGCGTGAAAATGTGGCGTGTGCAACCGCACCGTACCATAACACAGTACCGTACTAATGATGGCTTGACACTGCCATTCGCTACATCGATATCTATAATTTCCTAATTTTTGACGCTGACAGACGCTCGAACTACAGATTGACGCTGGTGAACGCAAAGTATGAACACAGCCTGACTGTTGTTTATTAATTTGGCGAACCCTACTTCTGTTCAAAAAGAGAATATAGATTCTAGTAGACCACTTACTACTTTTTTTATAAATAGTCAACGATGTCACGCTGACATCATCACCTCTGGTCTCCTGAGAACCAGCGGAGATTGTGTATAACTGTTATCAGTACAAAACGATGATTTAAGCAGTGCATCGCTGTCAAAGCAAACGGCGCTAGTCATTTGCTACTAATTTTACTCACGAGAGATCCTTCAGGTCGTGGAGACCACTTTCGGAAGAGGTTTCTTGCATATTGCAGAGATTCATGCGGGGACCACGATAGTGAAGTTGATTCTTCGCTTTACGTTGATGAATTCCCCGAGAAAAGATCGAAAAAAGTTCTGCATGTTTACCACCAACTCAACAACGGAGAGCTTTAATGTTTCTCTGAAGAAAAGGGTCCGGTGTTTCTGGTCATGTTTTTCCGGCAAAATGTCCCGACAATTGAATGCAAAAAGAGAAAAATTGGTGGAATGCAGAATTTTGTCATTGGGGATTCAAGCCAACAGTCTATTGTTCAGCCCTGCTTTCTTTGACCTGCTCAGAAGTGCGCAGTCATGCGCTACACTTTTGTAGTCAGGGTATAGCATCGTTGTGTGAAACACATGGGGGAGGAATGGTACTTGACCACTGGGTAGGGGAGTCATATGTGCCTTTGAGAGGAATTTGCCGCGCTGGGGAAGAATTTTGTCGGTTTTCCCCGTTTCACCTTTGCGCCCTTGGTATACACCCTCCGCCTTCCCCCTAGTTGGTGGCCGCCAACGTTCTATGTAAGTGATAGATCTGATAATTGAAAATAGTAGTCGGTTGCTGGCGACCTCCCCCCCCCCCTCCCCGCTCGACGGAAAATTTTTGGGTGAAAAACTGGAAAATGTGGGAAATTTCGGAAAAACTGGTAGGAAGCTGGGAACTTGTAGGAAAGTGGTAGGTAGGTGTTGGGAAGGGGGGGGGTCGTACTGACACCACCATTTCACACATCACGATGCTCTACCCTGTTTGGAGTACCCTTAGCTCGCTTGAACCCCGCACAGAGACAGCGGACCTTTCGATCAGTAAGCTCGAAGGCAGATGGTGCCAGCCGACCAGAGCAGGCGCGGCCAAATTTCTATGCCCCTACCACCTTAGTCTCAACAAAGCAGCGCACACCTAAATAAAACGCTCGATGTAAAAGCCATAAAACCATGTTTTCAAGCCATGCGCGTCCCATCAAAACAGCCTAGTTTATGGCCATGAAGACTAAAAACCTGACTGCGTTCACCAGCTTAATTATACGGCAGTTATAAACATTGTACATTAATGCCCCCCCAATATGTGTTATGTACGCACTATTAAGCTGTTTAACGAGTCTCAACCGTTCATGGGTATCCAGAACGTGAACAAGGTCTCCAAAAAAGAAGACAAAATCTACCTCGAGGTTGGAATCGGTCCGATCGGAGCATGTCAGGTCTGCCGTGCACCTTGCCTTGCAGTCTCCAATCGTGCAGTCGGCGTCGGTCGTACAAGAACGTCCTTGAAGTGCAGCCCGGAGTCGAGACTCAGTATATACCATGTCTCCATCCATCAGCACAAATCTGAAAGGGACACACTTTATTTCACATCTTTCTGTTCTAAATGAAGACAGCATAGCGTACCGCTTCGGATAATCAGCAGAAAGTCCCAGATTGTCGAAGCGAACGTCACACCATTGAAGCGGCTCGTTGAGAAACTCGTAGAACAACTTCAACGTGCCCATTATATGCACAAGAATTTTACCCTGAAACGACGCGCGACCATACAACAA